TACATTAGAAAATGCACAGATCCTGTTGTAAATCTATTTGATGATGCAACATCTCTATTTCTAACTCCAAGGGCCTGGATGCAGAGTCTGCTGAGGATCCCGGCTCTCTTGCATCATTCCTGTCATCAGGACGGCGTTCCCGGTCCCAGTCTGCTGCCTCCAGCACCAGCAGTGTGTCCAACACTCCCAAGAAGTCAGAAACATGTCAGGTACTACAAACATCATACTCATACACTGGTCATGGAATTTATACACACATGTTACGTGTGCATGTTTGCTCCTTTATTGTTAGTTTGGCCAAGGACGTTGGTTTGGCTGCAGGTTAGTTGAGAAACTGCCTGTCACATGTCATAACGGTTTACGAGATGTTGCCAGGCAATCCTTTGTTTAAACATTCTTCCTGCTGTGAGCTGATGAATACACCAAATTTGTACCTACTGCACCAAAAGTCTGCCTGCAGGCATGAGACTATTTATATGTTTTTTCACACCTTTTGTTGTGCCAGGCCTGCAGATCAGTGCCCTCAGGGCATCCAGGTTTCATCAGCAAAGACCCAGACACCAAGATCAGCTATGTGAGCAGCCAGTACCCAGAACATCCCCAACTCTTCAGTATCGTCAGACAGGCTTGTGTCCGCAGTCTCAGCTGTGAGGTAAGGAGTTCCTATCACATATCAGGTCATCCTCAGGCTACTTTGTCTTTGCGTGTGTTACACAATCTCTCAATGCCAGGGGCTAATTGTCCCTTTAGTTCTTCTAGGGGGGCAATCAGGTAGGCGGGCCAACAGGATCACAACTCAGTCAGGCTGGTTCATGCGTGTGATGCAGAATATTAATGTATGTGTTGTAAGTTATAACAAGCCCTTGTTTGATCCCAGATTGTCAGAAGAAGAACAGACCCTGCTGTGTTCTCTGATGTCGCTGCTGAAAAGAGATTAAGACACTTATTGCTTGAGAAGTGTGGAACGCGGCTCGTGCCTATTCACAATGGGGCAAGTCTTAAAGAGTTAGTTACTGTAGTGAGGGGTTGGGCTCTCTGCAATGTTTATTAACAATTCTGTTCTGTTATTCATAGGTCAGAATCAACACAGAAACCTTGGTGATCTACATGTACTAATTGTCATTTCGTCCTCCTCTTCTGTGGTGTTCCCATTTCACATGCACGGCCTCAATCCTTTCATTTACTGAAGATAATAAGCCCAAATGAAATGATTTCCTGAATGAATAATTTTCAGAATATACATGTAGTGTAAAACTAGGGAAATAAAAAAAGACATCTAGCAAAACCCCATGTCATCCTCCCTAGGTGTGCCCTGGGCGAGAAGGTCCCATATTTTTCGGAGATGATCACTGGGGTCATGTGTTCAGCCACACCTTCTTCATCAAGGACAGCCAGGCCCGAGGCTTCCAGCGCTGGTACTCCATCATCGTCGTCATGATGGACAAAATCTACCTGATCAACTCATGGCCCTTCTTAGTCAAGCACATAGGAGAGATCATCAGTAAGCTACAGGACAAGGCAATTAAGGTATGTGGTTTGCTTTAAGGAATGTGTTTTCTAATTCTATATACATGTACTAATTTTTCACTGATTAAAGGTGCATGGTTCTAACTGGAGTCCTCATATCAAGTCAGACTGGCAAGTTTCAATATTGTATGTTACAACACAGGATCAGTGTAGAGATGTTATGTTCTATGTTGCACCACAGGTATATGATCAGGAGCAGAACCAGTGTCCAGAGAGAGCCAGGAGAATGAACGAGTCCTTTATGGCACCAGGGGATTTCTTTCGCCGGCAGCGTGGTGGGGATCACTTCAGGTCACTTGTCACACTCACAAAAGATGATGGTTTATTCAAGTGAGTTAGAAAGTGTTCTCTTCCTTATTTTATTTTTTGAATTGTTTTAGAAGGTGCACATTCTGATATTTCAGTCTTGTTCAGTGCTAGAGACAATATCCAGGTGGTTATCATATAACAAATCAAAGAATTATCTGAATTAGGAGACCATGACATAAGGAGGGACATATGTTCCTTGATAATCAGATGTGGATACTTTTCTAACAGTGGTTGTATTGTTCTAAGGTGGCTGCACCAGTGGTTTGTCTGGGTGCTGAAGGCTGGAGGAAACAGGATGACAGAGAAACTGCTGGAAGGGCCTCCAACAGAAGATGTGCTAATAGACATGGAGAAGCAGGAAGGTAAGAAACTGTGGCAAAGCCAATATGACATAATCCACTGTCTTGGAGAAGTAACAAAACATAAGGCATGTGTAATATACAGTAATTTTACTTGTCACTGTACAACTCAAAGCAGTGACATGCAATACTATGGGATTAGAATAATAAGATTCCAACTATTTGGATGAAAATCATACCCAAATTGCACTGAATTTGGTTCTAAAATGCCTCAACCCCATGCATTTCCTGATACTACAATGCTGTATTGTGATTTTATGTAATCTGCATGTTTTAAATTAACTTGATCACCCAAACAATCAATCAATCAATACAGAAACGGAAGAAGGTTTCATTAAGATCAACACCAAGCCTATTCCAAGCCCTGACCAACCCACAGCTACTGAAGAGGTACAACAGACATCCCCACCAGAGACAGAGGAGGCTGGTGCAGAGGGGGACACAGACAGTACAGCTCCTGTATTCACATCCTTAAGACACTTCAGACAAGTAAGTCACAAGTTTGTATACTTCAGGTGATCTCAAGGAATTTGTGAAAGAATTCCTCACTCCTCACCTAAGGGATTTTGCATTCTTCTGTCTTTAAACTTACTCTGTCAAGTGTTGTTTCTAGTTTCTAGAGAGACAAACATGTTGTATGTTTCTTCCCAGGTAATTGGCAGTCAAGGGTTCCATGCTATTGCACACCATATCCTGATCGGTAATCAGGTCATCATCCGAGGAGAGAAAAGAGCCACAATGGAATCAATCATCAATGTTTTGAAGGTTAGAATATATGTTTCTTTTAATTTTTTTTAGTTTGCTTGTTTCTCTGTTCCGTGATCATTTCTTTTATTACCCTGAGCAATTCTTAAAAAGCTGTTTTGTAACTTGTTATTTTCCAGTCATTACTACCAATGGGATGCTGCCGACTGGTTCCGTACAGCGCCACCTATGAGGACTCCTGGAAGTGCAACTTCCTGGGTCTCCCACTTGTGGCACAGATTCCTGCACACGTCATGTCATCAGAGTACTACGTCATCATTGATGTGCTATCACCAGCAAAAGTGCAACAGACACTGGAACCTGATGTGTTCTTTCAGTACTCCTTCCTCATGACCACAAAGGCTCAGTTACCAGAGAAAGGTGAAAAAATTTCTTAAAATCTACACTGACATCTTTTTGCATTAGCATCCAAACACTAAATTATAAAGTTGTTCTTGTCCTTGACCATGTGACACATGCTCTCATATCCTCTATTTACTGCAGGTCCTGCCATCCTACAGAAGATAGAACTTGCCCTGGAGAATGAGAATCTGTCCAGTGCAGTGGTAGATGCCTGCTTGGTGTCCCTCAAGGAGGAATGGATGAAGTAAGTTGATCTGATTCTTTGTTGTTCTCTTTTGTACATTCATACAAGTCCTTATCCTAATGAGAATTTCCTGTGATCTGTTAGAACCAATAATTTGTCTTCACTCTCGTGACTTACAAACGATGACGTTCCCTCTGTAATCCCCAGCAAAGTGAAGGTGCTTTTCAAGTTCTCTCGAGCCGGCAGTCGCTCCCGAGAAGACACGCTGAAGCTGCTGCAGGTTCTGGAGGCTACGGAGGAGGACACACAGATGCTGAAGTTCTGGATGACGGGACTGAGTAACCAACACAGGACACACATGCTGTCATCAGCAATCAGCACTTCACCTCCAGTATAACTTGTCACTATAACTGTACAGATGGGATCACTGGTTGTTTCCATTGTTAGCTCAGGAATGATACAATGTAAAATGTAAAGTTGTTGCTAGAACATACATGTAGAGAATAGTGAATTCAGATGCTGATATAAACTTCAGAGTAAAAGCCTTTATTTTGAAATACACCAATATTTTCATTATTTTGGTGTTGTAAGGCTATATCCGGAAATGTCTATGTTGGGAAATACATGGGAAGTTATTACAATGTGCACAAAAATGTATTTGTGTCAAGTGGTAACAGTACTAGTGCTGCATATTTCTAATGATAAATTGTATGGTACATGTATGTTATTCAGTGCAATGAACTGTAATTTTGAATTGTAAATATAAACAATGAAGACTATGTCCTTAGAATTACCGTTAAAATACAATGCATATGTATGGTTTGATATGCAGTTAAACTGTTAATGCAATATTTGGTACAAATGTATCATTGAAAATTGTTGGTAGCAGGATTATGGCACTAAAACTAGTTACCTGATTAAGAATTGATAAGAAAATCCAATCTATAACTATCTATGACGGTAGAAATAACAACTTCTCAATAATAGAATATTGGAAAGACTTCAGTCGTGTGTTATACAATTGATAATCTTACTGTATATTTTGTACAGGTGCACAAATACATTACAGAATATATGAATATAAATTTTTTCTCAAAGTACACTCTATACCTACATGTAGGTAGCTGTGGACAAAGTTAATATTAAGACTACAATCAATGTTTAGTTGCCAGTAAGACAAAGTTTCTAGGGGACAGTCTAGGATTGAACAAGGGTACCAGTTGACAGTTGGTGCCATGCTCTCGGAGGTACTGCATCCTGTCCAGTAGGAGCAGTGTTTCCACCACAGGAGCCAGCACCAGGCGCAGACAGTGGAACACCACAACTTCCCTCCAACAGGCCAGCATCTCAGCAGCCTCCGCCGAGTCAACTGGCACACGCGTGTCAGTGGGATATATCAACCTGGCCAGGGCTTTCTCTGCATACGTTTGGAAGTCCATCTTGTGTGTTTTACGGATGCTCCTTATCCCGGCTCTCCTCTTGGTACTGTCGTGCTTGACAATAAAGTGTTCCAGTGTAGCTCTGAAGCAGTGTGGCATCATAACCTCACTGTCGTCACTCCTCAACCTCTCTGTGTACATGTCTATAGCATGGCAGGCCAGTTCTCGGGACTGGTAACTCAGCTCAGCATTCAGCCTTTTTGCCATCTGGCTCATGGGGAAGCCATAATCAGAGTAGACAGGCTGGGGTGGAATGTCTACTGGCCCATCTCTTCTGGCTGTGCTTTCATTTGCACATGTCATTTTCATGTAACAACATCCTACAGAAGCCAATGCACGGATGTCACTACATCGTGTGAAGACTTTTAACATGGTGGGTGCCAGGTCCCCACATGTATGCAATCCAACCATGGTGAAGGGCTTTCTCTTGACAGAAGTGTCACCCTCATCAACAACTTCTTCTGTTTTTGTCAGATCAGCGTTACAACATTTCTTCTCCCCAGAATCACTTTCACTGGCAGAGTAATCTGATGTTCGAATTTTCTTCGTATTTGGAAGTTCCATGTCTACGTTGCAAGGACTGGTTTGATCAGAAACAGTGACTGGTGATCGTTCTGATTCACATTCGTCATGTCTAATTACTTGATTATGTTGGTTAATTACAGAAAGAAAGTCATCAACAGAGATGTCTGGTTTGAGGAAGCAAGTCACATGACTAGGCTGAGCATGCAAAACATCATCAATATCGTGCTCCTCCTGTTTCCTAATCTTCTCCTTAGTAATGTCAGTCACCACTTGTTTGTCGAACCTGGCAGCTCCGGTGACATGACATCCCTTGGCCTCAACACTTGTAACGTTCAGCCTGTGTGCGAAGGACAACACTCGGGACAAATGTCCCTGTCCTGATCCAACATCCACCACATTAGAACATCCCATCTGGTCACACAGCCACTTGACGGTTGTGGCCAGTCGGAGGATTTCGTGTTGCTTCTTGGGCTTGACGTGCCTGCGGAAGCAGTGCTGCAGTTCCGGGCTACGCAGCTGTCCATCGCGAATGTCTTCTGCAAGGCTCAAACCATCTGCCCTGTTTGGTGATGAATTATCAGGTAAAGGTTAGACTATAGAGTGGTACTAGTAAATGTTCAGTATCAAAATACATGTATGCTGAAAGCCACCACATAAAGCCACCCAGAAAAATAGCAAGTATACGCAGTTAGCATTGTGATCCAATTAGAATAAGCCATGGACACCCACCCCAGCTGTCCCACCAGTGTACTGAGGGTGCAGGCTTGTCTGGGCAGTGCGAGGGAGTGTGCTGTCGCTCTGAATGCCAGCAGGGACAACGGCCACACTGTAGTTCTTGTACATCTACCAGGTGAGCACAGTAAGTCATCTGCAATTTCTGCAAATATATTAAAACAAAATTAAATATTGAACGTTGAATAGATATTTGTTTTGTGTGTGAAAACACAAAGTCAATTAGGGTGTACATTGAAATGGTTAATTATACTAGTCTATACATTCGTTAGATTAATTTTATGTGTCCATATTGTTTCCACTCTCTTGTTTCCTTCCCCCAGTGATCTCAACAAGTTAGTTTTAAATCTGAGATAATGTTGGACGTTGAACCTCGTACCTTGTGGAGCAATGCCATGTAAAACATTCCGCCAAGACGCCGGAATCTTGTCCCAGTGCTTCTCGGTGAAGAACTCACACACATAGGCATCCAGTAGCCACCTGTAGTCCCCAAGGAACGTTGTAAGCTGTAGAAAAAGATGCTGGAAGGTCTCAGTTTCTTCCTCCATGCTTTTCCAACACGCCTCTCATCACATTTCAGCTGGTTAGAAAGCAGCAACACGCAGAAATTGTAAAGTACAAAGCACAATTTAGCGACGCGAATTTTCACTGAACAAGATCAAAACCATCTCATCAAAATTCTATATAATAGATTTATTTTTTGTATCAGAAAATTTCCCAATAACTGCCTTTGTTACTTCCGTTACTCTTTTTGATAGCATTGTGTTGCAAATCAAACTCGTACCAGCGACATTCTGGGGCAAATCATTAGATATGACATTATTATCGTAGTAACAAGTCATATGTTTTAAGCACCCTATTTGGTTTAAAAATTATGTTTCTTTATTAGTGTCTAACTATATTGTCTAAGTTTTTTTAGGTCAATTCATTTTCATTATTATCATTTTAACGACATCCCCGCATGCCTGAAGGACGAACAACGGTTTATCCCTCCTCAGCTGGGCCAAGATGGCGATCGGTGTTATGATGGATCTGTTCCGTCGCCACTCCAGGTTTTCTGCGGCCGGGGCCGTGCTGTTCCTGGCCACAGTCATCATGTACAGGTAACCTCAGTTACATCATGAAACCATGTATTACCCAGAACTTCTAGACCCGTGTCTATTTAGCTGTATAAACCTAGCTAGCCATTGACGAAATAAAGGTGATGTTGCTCACCGGTATAAAATCGTCCACGCCCATCATATGGACATTGAATCTGACAGATACAGTGGGCTTATTATGGGCTGGGGACATTCCAAAACGCGTGGTGAAATGATAGTTTGATATCACTGTTGAATCACATCAGTCAGTGTTATTTCATAAGACACTATATAAAACTTTATGATTTTATGATATCAGGTGTCACCTATAGGAGATGTTTCCAAGGTGACATTGCTACGATTAACATGTATGTTGATCAAAGCGAAGGGGGAGGGTAAGATAGAGAAGTAAGGGAAAGCCTTTCTTTTACTGGGTACACACATTGACAACTGTTGCCTTTTTGGGTACAATTTCTGGTATACCCTGCTGGCCATTATAATTTATATTAAATGAAAAGTGCCCTAACCACTCCAACCTACCCCCAGTGTATCTATTATAAAATGTCATGGATGCTTAATTCATCAACTATCAACAACTTCAGTGAAACTATACTGATGATTTTAAGGATGTAATTTTAATGTGCAAGTCAGTGAATGCCATTTGCTATTGAAACTGAGAGTGGAAGAAATTTATATTAATAATATTATTATTGTTAACTGTTTGGATGGATGCCAGAATAGTCAATAGTAATTTTCTGTTTTCCCATCTTCGATGCCAATCTGAAGTGGTGCAGTACTGGAGTGGATGTCCTCTAGGTATCTTTGTCTTGTATTGATATTGATTGTTGGATCTTCCCAGGTCATGCATGTGTACCATCATGATTTGCCTTGTTTGGACATATGCATTTTTTCAGGCATGTGTGAAAACTTAATGATACAATTAAGGTTTGTGCACAAAAGATCAAAAGGGCTTGTGTGAACCCAAGGAGGTTAAACCTCCTTGGTGACTTGGTGAATCCCAGAGATAAAAAAAAACAGTTCTACCAAAAATAATGTAAAGTACATGTAACATCAAACCATCTGTCTGTGATATGTGGCTAAAATGGTAAACATTGAAGGATGAAAAAGTGGCATGCAACAATAATGTAGGTGCTTTGATTTTGTTTTATAGAGCACACAGGTATGTGTAACAAATGTATATGGAATAAAGGTACACGTGGGTACGACTCTTATATTAAAAAATTCTGCTGTACCCTGTCCTCACAACAATTTTCTTATTTGAACAGCCTTTAGCATGTCAGATGGACCAGGTAGGACTTGACCTGAGGATGATGTTTGTTTCCGCGTACAATAAAGATGGCATGCTGTTGGTCAGTATCAGCATATGGTATCAGTAGTAGTACTAGTAAGACAAATATACACATGATTGACCCATATATAATGAAATAATTCTGCTTCTTGTTTCCCCAGCTATGCACATATCTTCATGATCTTCTGGTCATTTGTGGGTGGAATGGTACTCTGCTACATGTTTTTTGGGTAAGTGCTTCATATTACAATGTACATGGAAAGGAACTGCTTAATTAATTTGCAAGCAAGTGTTATGGTATAGAGTATATTTTAATCATTCTTTTTCAGTTTCAATTTCACAACTTGTCGATTTCGGTTATGTCAAAATAGTACATGTAGTTTTATGCATGCATCATTTTTGTCTGATATTTTACATTACAGAAGGAACAAAAACATGATGCCCAATTTCCTCATCATGTACAACCGCAAGAAACAGGTATGTTCAACTTTGTCCTGGGAAGATGATGAACTTTTATTCAAATCAGAATCATTGTATTTTGCTGGTCATTTTAGGATGCTGTTTATCATTAGTAAATTTTTATAAATCCTTTGTGTAATTTGCTTTATTGGGGCCAACATTTGTGTAACCACTAAAATCAAAAGCTAGACCATTGATATCTGTTCCATTCCCTGCAGCCAATGTTGGATGACCTGGAAATAGAGGCCCTGAGAAAAAGCTGCCCTGTATGTGGGGACCCCAGATGTGCTAGGCACAGGTAATGTTCTCTACCATTTTCTCTATTTTCTTATTACATACTATACTAGCAGTATCAGCTGCAAGATATAAAGAGTCTGTCAAGCTTGTCAGCATGTGTATGTAATGTCTTTTATTTGTACATGTAAGTTTTGAACTGTTTTACCACAATACAAACTCTGCTCATGGTTACCTGACAGCTTCTGTGCTTTCATTCCTCCCCAGGCCTGGTCTGTCCATACTGGACCTCCAGCCATGGACCAGTTTGAAGGTGACAGAAAAAGTGGACATGGCATTGTCCGAGGTCAGCTACATTCCCTATGTTGTTTGTTTGTTTGTATTACTTGTAAATACTACTTTTATGTAGAATATTTAGCTTTCTTTCACTCCTGGAGTCCTGGTGTACATGTAACATTACATTTAAGCAAATTGCTTGTTTCTTATCTAGAGGAACAGATAGTACTTTCCATATATATCAAGAAATACATTTGTACGTTTTGTACTTTTCCAGTTTCTGGAGCTGGTCTTGAGAGATTTTGTTTACACCTGGTACAGGTAAGTATGATGATGCTGCTTTCAAATATCTCATGATTGGCAAATGAAAACTTCTGTTCACCTTTAGTTATTGTTTTAACACAATCTTTATATCAAACCATTTCCAGAGACCTGAGCACAGACGAGGCTTTTGTGGATGAAATGAGAGTCAGCCTGAGGTTCATCCTATCATGTCTTATAAGGAGGGTCAAAAAGGTACTAAATACTGAGTAGATTCTACCTAAAATAGCATCTTTGCATTCTTTATATTTTCCACCCTTTTAGCAGTATTGAAGCAGAGTGTTCTACCTGTGTATTACCAGTACTGTACTTATGTGTTTTGTGTAATGTTTCTTATAGACGGACCTCCCAACCTTTATTGTCAACAAGCTGATCAAAGCTGCCATGAGTCACCTGGACAAGTACGTCCGGGCCATGGAATCAGGTGAGTGGACTGGTGGAACAGTCTGAGTGACACTTTCTGGTGTAAACAATGTAATTGATGATAGAGAGAACATTAAAGATTTCACTTTATCAATAATAATTCTTGAAAAAGACAAATAAAGTAAATTTCCAACACCAATGAATGACTACTTTGTCTTAAGAGTTTTTGTATGTACCTCTGCATCTTATGAAGTCAAATGGTCTGAAAACCAGTACTATATTTTTTTATGGTAGCATGATAACATTTCTGTGAACCATATTGCTAACCTGTGCTACATTGTTGACCTGTGCTACATTGTTGACCTGTGCTACATTGTTGACCTGTGCTACATTGTTGACCTGTGCTAGCCCCACCTGGAGCTGACCTAGAGAAGGCCACATTAGAGCTGTACGGCTCAGAGCTCCACTGTGTCATGAAGAGCAGACGCACGGAACTGCAGTACCTCCGACACCTGTCAGGGGAAATTTTCCCCTACATTCTACCTGCAAGGTCACTCAAGTGCAAGTAGGTTTTATTTTGTTCTTTCATCCACTACTTGTTGCTCACAATGTTTAAAGAAGAATTTTTATCTTTGTATGTTTGTTTGATATAATGAATACAATGTACTTAATGGCTTAATGTGTTTTGAAATGTGTTTTACAGGAGCCTGTGTGCCTTGCTGAGAGAGCTGTTGTCAGCCTCAGTCTTGATGCCTGCCATTGACAAAATAGCTGATCCTGTAAGTGTGTTGTATGTACCTTTTCCATTTGTCTTTGAAATGTGTTTTTGGAAGACAAAATGAATTTATGGGGTAGAAATGAATAACTGAAAACTTATGTTTTACTTCTATCGCCTGCAGGACTTTGTGAACAACTTGATGCTAATTTTCCTTGATGAAACTCCAGTAAGTACTATCCTTCCTTTTCTTAACCACATGTATTTCACTTTTGTGATAATTTGTGTTTTACTACATGATGCCCCTTAATTCAATTCCCATTTTGTGCTGAACAGATGGCAGTGGCTACAGAACCTCCTTCTCATGATGTAGACCTGCTCGCTCACTTCAGCCAGCCCAGACAGGCTCCCACTGAATCTGTATGACCCTTTCTTTATATAGATATCATAATACATGTAGACATCTATAACAAATACAATATGATAAATTGATGTGATGTGGTTGATATGCCTCACAAAGAGTGTGGTTGTTAAAGATAGACATTAACTCTTAACAAATCCTGTGTTGTGAAATCAAAAGATATGTACATAAAAGCATGCTTAAGTATTGTAAACATGTTGCCCTGTTCATCCTGCTCTTTCCAGGCACTAAGACTGGACCTGCCAGACATCATGAACAACCAGACCACGCTGTTCCGCTTCATGCAGTTCCTGAAGGATGAGGCATCTGTCCATGTGCTGCAGTTCTGTCTGTCTGTTGGTCAGTATGCTATCAGTGGTACTGTTCATGGCAAAGTGGCCATCGGTATTTACACTGCACTATCTTTTGTTTCAATGGTTTTAACGTTACATGTATTTTCACGATGACCTCTTACCACAAAATCATAACACTGCAAATATGTGTTTTATAGTTCTACCGTACTTCAGGATTGTTTCAACTGCAAACTTCAAACACTGCAAACTACTTCAAAAAAAGATTTTCTCGCAATATAAAACCACTGCAAAGGTAGAGTCCATTCCATGTCACCGTGCGGGTGTTTTCTCTCATTGTTTCGAATTTTTTTGAAATGTTTGTAACCATTTCTAAAAGAATTTCATAGTTTTTAAACATTTCGAACTTGGTTTTAACTTTGTAAACAGTTTTCCCACATTATAAAGCATTCGAAACATTCTAAAAGCCGTGTACGATGTTTCGAAAGAATTGTAATAAAAGACTCCGCGGGAATACCATTTTTTCGAAAAGTTTGTAATTGGCTAAATGATCTGTGAAAATCCCTAATCCCCCCTAGCCGACTGCAGGCCGAAAATAGAAAGGACGGGGGCATCCCGTGGAGATTATTGCCAGATCCTCAGCGCCGGCGATAATGTAAACAAACACCCAACCAAACGGCCGCGCGAGAAATCAAATCCAGTGCGCGGCGGACATGGCGGAACTTGCTTCTTGAACTCGTTTCTCTCGAAAATTTATCAAGCCGCTCCCCTTCCCTCCGCGGCTGCCTTCCCTCCCCACCTCTCCACTACTGTCGTAATCACGGCGTGCCAACAAATCAGTCAAAACTAAGAAAATCCCGGAATAAAAAACAAGGAGGTTGCAAAAACGTATTCTCCACATCGCCATGTTCTCATGAATATGTAAGTAGCAGCGCGCGATCTATACGCTCTGATTGGTTCACCTCACATGACCTGCGTTCTGATTGGATAAGCGGTATCACCGGTAGCCGCGGCAGCCGCGGCATATTCAGCGAAGAGAGACACATTTTCGCTGCTTTCTACGTTTTTTCTACGACTTTCTAGCAACATCCTATTAAAAATGGGTGATTAGACTCTATAAGGATTTTCGGGACAATTTCTATGCGCCGATTTGCGGTGTAATTTTGTTGTTCGAGCAAGATAAAGATAACCCGCGGTACCCGGAAGTGTACCGAGCTGGATTGCAATGGGCCATTTCCACGCGCATAAAACACAAAACAGCGCTAGAAATCAAGCCCGATAAATAAGCTGAAGCTTGTTGAAACCGACGAAAATATGAAGCACGCGCCGTAGAAAATGTGTCAAATCGCCGACGGCGCTGGGAAACCAAGGAGCCTTGAGGAAATCAAGCGATCCGCCCGTCCAGATGGCCGCGGACGTCCCGCCGCGCCGTGCGATGTCTACACAGAAACCGCCCGTGGAGCGGGATTAGCGCTTGATTGATAACAGGCAATCTTCTTTTCGAAATATTTCGAATTTCAAATTGTGTTTCTAAACATTTTGAAATTAAGATCCCATTTGATTGCCACTTTCAAAATTTTTGCAAATTAATCCAACATTTTCGAAAACATGCTACTCAGGTACTTACATTTTTTACAATAATTTCAGAATTTTTATAATAGTTTCGAATTATTTGAAACTGATTAGAAAATATTAGAAATGTGATTAAAAAACCCGCACGGTGACTTGGAATGG